TTTTTTTTTTTCGCGTAGTAAATGTGTTCTCTGTTGTGGATACCGACCCGAAATGCATGCAATGAAACAATTGGATGTTGATGTTTTTCTTTCTGTTTCTTGTGGTAGAATGAAGAGGAAAAAATCGAGAAAAACTGTATCATGATATTCTATGTTTTTTTGTTGTTTTTGTGGTTGTTATTTGTTTCCCAGAGAATCTTTTGTTGTTATTTCTATTATTATTATTTTTTTATTTATTTAATTCTTTCTTTTCTTTTTTTTTCTTTTTTGTTGGCACAAGCACCCTTCAAAGTCAAAGCAAAAAAAAAAGGGAATTGCATTTAAACAAATCACCAAAGAAAAAAGACAATACCACCAGAAACAACAAGAAAAAAACCATAAACATAACAAAAAGAAAACAAGCCCCAGAAGATTTATAAATAGCCCATAGGTTGAAATACTTTTTGTTCTCCTCTTTTATTAGTTTTTTTTTTTTTTTTACTTTTGTGTTAATATTACTATTGTTCTTAAACGTAGGAGAGAGTAAAAAAATAAAAAAAAAAAAGAAGAAAAACACGCATATTCAACTAAAGAGTGGGATATTTCAAGCGCACTGAAAAGGAGTGTTCTTTCAAAGTACCAAAACAGAAAAAAAAAACGACAAAAAAAGGGAAAAAGAAAGAGGGGCAAGAGAAGAACAAAACCAAAAAAAAAAAAAAAAGAATCAGAGGCATCAATATCAGCAGAAGGAAATACCGCTCAATAGTTACCGACCAGGACAAAAAAAAAACAACAAAAAAAAACGAGAGGGGTTTGGGTATAAATAACTTAATCCATAAAGTACCCTTATTTTCCTTTTTTTTTCTATCTCTTTCTTTCTTTACTTACCTTCACTGCTTCCTTTTTTTTTTTGTCCCCCCTATCTTCATTTTTATTTCCTTTTTTATTTTTCTATCTTGCGCTATTATCACCTCACTTTCTCTCGATTGTGCTATAACACCCCCCTTTTTTTATTGCATTTCTTCCTGAGTTAGTGTGTTGAGGAAGAAAAAGGGGAGACTCTTGAGAAGGAAAGAGGGAAAAAACGCTGAGGAATCCGAAGCTTATATATATATATATATATTTACATATATTGTTATTATTGCTATTAATTTGAACTCTGTGTCCATCACAGGGAGTAAGTGACAAAACCGTGGTTATTAATTACAAGCGGAAAAAAAAAGAGAAAGTGGTAGGGTTAAGAGTTTGTAATACCCCAATATTGTTTTTTGTGATATAGAGAAAGAGAATTATTTGGTGACAAGACCTTGGGAGAGGGTGTTGTGTGTCTAGTATCACATATTTGACGTTTCGTTTGTTAGTGGCACAACCCCCGTTCTGAAGATTCACACACAAAAAAAAAAAAAAAATAAAAGAAAAAACGAAAAAAAGAAGAAAGAAAAAAAAGAAATACGTAAAAAAAAAAAAAAGAAAAAAAAAAGAAGAAGAGTAATAGTATAATGATGAAGAAACATGGGCTTCACTCATTGGAGTTAAAAGCTCTTAGTGTTCCTTCCTCACTTCGATTTATGTTGGGTGTGGAGTATGAAGTTGTATACTGTGTTACTGAAGCGGGTAATCGTCGTCCTTGTACAATACGATTTCCTCTTGTTGCCACAACATTTCGAAAATTATTGGAATTATGTGCGGAGCGCTTCGGTCTGGAATGTGTTCATCACGAAGATCATTCTCTCCTCTCTGGAACTGCAATGATGCCGACTCTACGGTACATTGACTATTTACCAGGAGCTTTGCATGTGGAGGAATTGTTGGAATGCCTTGGTGTAAAACCGTCTACATCTGCTAAACGCGATGGAAATTCTGCACATGATTTTGTTGCATCCTTTATTGATTACAGTGAATACCGTACAGATACATCTTTAACAGATGTACATGGCACTGGATTTTACTTAACACTGGATTATGGTCTATCTACTGCTACTCACAGTCATCTTGTAGAAATACAGTTTCATAAGGGCTGTTCTATAGATGAAGCTTTACGGGAGTTTGGAGAATTTAGTGGTTGGAATACATTTGACTTGCGTTTTTATGATGAAAATGATAAACGTGCAGGTGGAATAGTTGTAATGCCATCTATTCAAGATGCATGTGATTTATTTGAAAAATATGAAGATGAAGATTCAGATGATGAGGGAGAATTACTACAATTCATTCTTCGCCCTGTTTCACCTCTTGTACCGGTACCTTCTGTAGAGGATTCTGCTTTAAAAAAGTTGCGTGATCAACACTGGGGTGAAATTGTAAAACATTGGGAACGTTTCTCAAGATGGCGTAACTGTGTTGTGGTATCTAATCTTTATGAGTCTGCCTCTCTTGAGGATACACTTGCTTTCTTTGATGGACTTCCCATTACGGCTTCTTCTTTGGTGGAGGATAACTCACCTGCACGACGACGACGTGTTTTTGTAACATTTGCTACTTCAGATGCGGCTAAAAAAGCACTTTTACTCGATGGTAGAAGTACAAAGGGAAAGACACTACGTGTACAAGTGTCACCCCCTTATATTGATGAAAGCAGACGAGGAAGAGTTGTGGGAAGTCATCCAACTTCACCTTCAGATGATGTGGTACGACATAAGGAAAGTGCACAACGTACTGTCTCTTCTAGTCCACCCTTACAACAAGAGAAACGTGATGTTGGGACTACTGCTGGCTATGATGTTTCCACACATCACAACAGAGATCGAAATAATAGTAAACGCGATCATGAGGATAAACGCTGGAATACACCTGCACAAGTCGGTAGCCCTCAAATCGTCTCTGTATCGTCGTCTGCTCAAAGAGAGGGTTTGGGTTCATCCAATATTCCCGTACAATCCACTACTAATACTAATACCAACACTACTGCTGCTGCGGCGGCGGCGGCACCGCAGACTACTCTCTGCAACACACCGCCTGTCACTTCGACGATGAACGCCAACGCGAAGGAGTTCATTCCCTCCACCGCCTTCCACCCACACGCCGCATCCCCCGAGATGTATCCATCGCCCATGTTGGTGCCGTACGTGGAGGAGCATCTTCTCCCACCGCCCGCCTACAACAGCGTCCCAATGACGCGCCCCATCAACTGCACACACCGCAGCCCGCGACTGAGTGCCGCCCCGCCGCCGTACACCGCACCGCCATCGTACGCCGTCGCCACGCAGGTGTTGCAGCTCGTCACACAGAACCCGCCGTCACCTCCACCACCACCACCACCCTCCTCTCTGTAATTGGAAATAGTGGGTGGGGGAAAAACGGAAGGAGAAGGAAGAAAAAAAGAAAAGTATATATATATATATGGTTGGTGAGCAAACTATATAACAGAGGAAGAAGGATAATGGATGGTATGGGATGATATGTGAAAAAAAAAAAGAAAAAAAAAATGGAAGAAACGAGGAAAAATAAGACAAGATGAAAGGTAGTAGGATGGGGAGTGGTGAGGGAAGGAGGAAAAAAACTTACCCATGTCTTTCTAACTAGTAATGGAGAGAAGAGGATGGAGACTTTTATAGAAGAACTTCAGGAATGCACTAATTGCTCTTAACGCAGAGAGAACCGCAAAAAAAAAAAACGGAAAAAAAAAAAAAAAAAACGGAAAAAAAAAACAAAGTGGAGGAGAAGTGAGGGAGCGTGAAAAAGAAAAGAAAAAGGGGTACGAAAGGAATTGATTTCCTTATTATTGCACAATGCAGAGTTTTTTTTTTTTTTTCTTTGTTTCCCTTTAGTTGAAATTTATGCCTTGCCATGGTGTTTTTTTTTTTTTCTTGTTTTGATTCTCATCTCTGTTTTTGTGTGACTTTCTTTTCACACCATGTCCAGAGTTTCTTTCTAAGAGGGTTTCTGTGGATGTTAAGAGTGCTTAAATATCTCTTGCCAATTTATTGACGTATTTGTCTTTACTGTTTCTTTTTTTTTCTGGTGTGTGTGTGTGTGTGATGTTGTTGTTGTCTTGTGTTTTTCTTCATTTATTGGTCCTCTGATTAATATTTTGTTTGAATTGAATGCAGTCGACGTAAGGGAAGTGATATTGAAGAATAAAGATTGGAGAGTGAAGGAGGAAGAAAAAAAAGAAAAAAAGAGGGTTTTAAAGAAGGCGAAGTTGTTGATAATTTTTCTTTCCTCATTTCTTCTGACTTCGTTTTTTCCCCCATGCGTCTTCAAGTTTTTTTTTTTTTTTTTTTTTTTTTTTTTTTTTTTTTTTTTTTTTTTTTTTTTTTTTTTTTTTTTTTAGAAACCCTAGTGAAGCCAAGCAGATCGTGAAGACCCCCTACACTAGAAAGAAAACAAAAAAAAGTGAGAAAAGAAAAAGAGAAAAGAAAAAAAGAAAACTTATAAAGAGAGAAAGAGAGAAAAGTGTGTTGAAAAGTACATGGAAATGGAGAAGGATGTGATACAGCTTCCTGGTGAACCCAATAGTGCACATGTATCCCGTATTGTTGTGGTGATGCGGCATGGCGAACGTCGTGATGGGGCACCGGATGCTCCTCCGGAAGTGGATCCACCATTAACGAACAACGGCATTGCGCAGATTGCAAAAGCCGCTGAAGTACTTCGTAATGTACTTGGTGTGAAACGAGCTAGAAAAATGTTGTTGCTCGTTTCTCCTTTTTTGCGAACTATACAAACTGCTCAGGAATTGCAACGTTGTGGTATTGGAATTGCAAGTCCACTAATTATTGATAACACGATTTGTGAAGTTTATGGTCCAACACGAATAAAGAGTGGAAGACCACCTATATTTTCTGAACGAGTAATGAAAGGTGCCAGTGGTGAGTTACCTCTTTGGGGTGAATCTATTGAAATGGCATCACGTCGTTTTGTAAATAGTTTACATAACAACAGTTTTCTCTATCCAGATAGACATCTTTTATTCGTAACACATGGTGATGCTATTGGTGCTATTTTAAGTGCTTTTTATCCAATGCGTACCGTATATGAGGTGGAGTATCTTTCATTTATTGCTTTACGAAAGTGTAACTCAAATGCTTCTGCTGTGGATACAGATTTCTATGAACTTGTTGGATCTAACGGGGTATATTGGCTCTTGGATGGACCTGAAAATTCCATAAAAGAATCATCTGTGTTGGAAGTGGATAGTGTTTCAGGCTCTGGTGATAGCAAAAGCAGTAATATTGATGGTACCCCACAAGAAAATGGTGTAAGTTTATCTGGTTATTCTCGTTCAGATTTTGGTCATAATACCGTTAGTGAAGATAATTTGACCCCTGTAACGACGCAATCTATGGAAATTGATAATGATATTGATTGCATGGATATATTTTTTTTCTTACTGGCAATGATATCACAGTTTCTTGTCTTTTTTACATGGTCTAATAAAGTGGATGCAACGATATATGTCACCATAGTGATTGTGGTGGAGTTATTTGACTGTGTTCGAAAAGTACTGGTGTCTCAGTTCCCTCACTTACCTCTCCTATCTATTTCACTGGACCCTTTTTTTAGAGTTTCTGAGTATCGAAGAGTATTGCTTGAGAACACCAGTCAATACCCATATTTGGTGGATATCCTGCCAAAACTTGGCGCAATCGCTCTTAAAGTTTTTTTTATATTCTTTTTCAGTGTTATGTTCGCTCTTGTGAATACTTTACAAGTACAACGTTTCAGTATGTTGCATTCCTACATAACTTTCTTCACAACAGTCCCAAACGCTCTGATTTACCTTTCCTACTGGATCTTCAATGTACTTCGTGCTCTCCGCGAAGATGTGCATTCGTGAGAGGCTGAATCTACTGCTTTTTTTTTTCTTCTCAATTATTATTACTAATATTAAGGAGATAATAAACCAACGATTGCAATATTTATTATATAGCTTCTTTGAAAAAACTTTTTTTTTTGCTTTTCCGCATTATGTGTTGTTCTTTGCGTGTTTGTGGGTGTCTGTGATGTTTATATGTCAAAGAAGAAGGGCAGTGTTACCAGCTGTTTCTAGTTAGATAACATGATATTAACTGACTGTGGTTTTTTTCTTTTCTTTGCTTCACCATGCTTAATACTTGGCCTTCTGCATAATGTTTGACTTTCAGACAAACCATTGGGTCATAGATCAGTTCAGTAAGACTCTTCTAATATATATATATATATATATGTTTATTGCTGAGGATACCTGCATTAACTATTACTTTTGCTTCAGAGAATTTGACCAAAGATCTTAAACTTATAAATGATATTTTTATGGATTGTTTTTCTTCTTTTTCTCTATTCTCATATTGAAATCCAAGATATTGTAAAGATTATCTCTCTTATTTCGCCTTCGCCCCTATGTTTTTTTTTTTTTTTTTCTCTCACAACTTTTTATTGCTTGTTTCTTTTTTTTTTTTACTGTGCATACTCTCATCGTATTGCCTCTTCATTCAATAAGATTACTGGAAACAATATATATTTATATTTATATAGATACAAACACATATTATATATATATATTTATTTATCTATTTATTTATATTTAAATATATATCGTGTGGTATGTCTTCGCAGATACCGACATCTATGAGCGCAGAGCAGCGTGCCAATCGGGCAGCTGAGGAATTGGCGTCTCGTGTGGCCCAACGCTCCACATTGTCGAGCAACGCCGCCCCATTTGTCCCATCTTTTCTTCAAAATCATGGACTAACAACAGCAACAACAACAACAACAACAGCAACAACAGAGTTAACACCAGAAGAGAAATCTGCAGAGGACAGGATAATAATGCAGCAGGAGAGTTTTGTCCGTGAACTGCAGGAGCTGTACGATGGCGCTGGGGCCCACACGCAGTTGCCGTCGGCCTCCAGCGTGGCGGCGACGATGGCGGTGGCCACGACAGCCCTCAAGACGTTTGGGGACATGACGGAGGAGGAGCTGCAGATGTTGGAGGAGTACTTGTGGGACCCCGCACAGGGCGGGGAGGGCGAGGAGGCCGCGGAGGACCGTCTCTTTGTCCATCAAGATGACGGAATGCAGCCGGATGAAGAGGAATGGCTTATTCAGCAAATGATAGAAACAGATGAAGTGGCAAGTAGGAAGAAACAAGATGCGCATGAAAAAATAGTAGAGAGTAAGCAAAATGTGCCACACAATTCTTGATGAACTCAGGTTGTTTGAGAGAGTACAGCACAAAAGAGAGAGAGAGAAAAAGAAAGAAACGAAAGGCGGAAAAGGGAAGAAAAAAAGTGAAATGCACATTTTTTTGAAGTTTGAAAATGGAGATGCAAAGGTGAAGAAAAACGGCGGAGAGAAAGAGAGTGAGGGTTCTAACAAGAACATTGGATTAGGTGCAACTTTTGTCTGCCCTTGTTTTTTTTGTTTTTTGTTGTTATTTTTCTTTTTTTTGTTCCTCTCTTTCTCAGTTTTTTTCTATTTTCGTATTCCTATTAATATGCACCTTCATTTCCTTCATTCAATGTGTCTTTTTTCTTTTCTGTGTGTGTGTGTGTTTGCAAATACGGAACGGAACCACGAGAAGAAATTGTTTATTTCAACAATACCTTTTCACTCTTATGACAAGAGCAACCATAGTGGGATGAATGTTACATTCTTAATGGCTGTTTTTTTTTTTTTTTTTTCCGTATTTGTATTTGTAAATAAAAACTCATTTTTCCTCTTTTTTTTTTTCCAACGCCTAAGAAAAACTACATTTGACTGATGTTATTGTTGTTTTTTTTTTCTTTTCTTTTATTGTTTCTTTTATTACCGTGTTTTTTGTTTTCTTTTCTTTCTTTTCGTTTGTTAATATAGGGGGGACAAATTTGAAAATACGCCTTCCCAATAATAGTAATAATAATAATAAACGTTGAAGGCGATTGACAACAGAAAAAAAAAAAAGGGAAGGAATTCGTTTTCAACACTCCGGTGGATTTTATTTATTTATTTTTGCTTTTTTCCTCACTAGAGTGTTCCAACAACATAATCAACAACGACAAGAAAAAGAAAAAGAAAAAAAAAAAAACGAAAAAAAAAGAGCCGTAAGGCTAAAGTGTAGTTTCTCAAGGACGTTCAAATGAAAAGAACAGAAAAGCGTTCAGATGCCCCATTAGACGCAACTGCGACGCAGTCAGTTATATCAGCAGACTCTACAGTTTCTTCACTATTAGTAAATGAAACCATTCCTCCTATCAATCTAGCGATGAGTGAATCGTCTGTTGATAGGCGGAGTTCCCCACATAATCGTAGTGTGACAATTCCTCCGGATAGAATTATTCCCTATGATACAGATGAGAGAGATGTCACTCTGCGAAATACACCGCAGGGCAACTTGGCACATTCCTCACCACATCCTCTAATGACGTTGAGAGCGGAGTCGGATAGTACGGAAATGGATATTAATAAGCCTCGAAGAAGAGGTTATCTCTTCAAAGAGAGTAGTGTAGAAAGGCATGCGGATAGGGTTAGTCAGGAACAACAACAACGTGAAAACTTACAACGTTTCTTTAAAGTTATTTCCACACAAGATATGGATGCCTCTCCCACTTCCACACAGAATGTACGGGAGGAACCTATGTCGGTTCAACGTCGATTATCGGATAATTCTTCTCCTCGCTCCTGCTTTAACCCACATTCCCCGATCACCTCTAATATCGTTCCTCACACTCCTTCCCCTGCTGCCTCTCTGAATGCCACGCCCTTATCGGCGTTGGTTCCCACTGCTGGTGTGGAGTTTTCCTCATCACCGACGGTGTTGGATTTATTCTGCCGTCCAACATCTCGAAGCTCTGGCACTCGTGCCGTCGCAACGATGACACAAGGAGGAGATATTAGAGATGATTTGGATATCAACAACGCAGAGTTTACAGTATTAGATTATACTTTGCATAGACCAAAGCCAAACATTCGAGCACATTCGTTAAAGCTACAGTTTCTTGGATTTGTTATAATAGCTACGATGTTGCCATTTCTTCTTATTGTTCTGCTTTTTGGAATGCATTATTGGGCTACGACGAGGTTGATCACATCTACAAATGATTTTCTCATCACGACTCTTACAGTTGGAAGTACTTGTGGGGATAAGGTTTCTGAACTCTCAGAAAATAAGTTTGGATCTTTGACTAAAGAAGCCTTTACACTTATGATAGGCATTATATTAGCCTTTTTTATACTTATCCTAGGAGGTATAATTTTTTTCTTGGTGGTACATTGGCGTTATGTATTTTCACCTTACATAAAAGTTCTTGCCTTTATACGAAGTGCAGCTCCAATACTTTCTAGAATTGAAGCAATCACACCTGAAGAATTAGAAAAGGCCCCTAAACCTCTAAAATTTCCTTTTTGTTGGCGAAATAATGAGAAAGCATCTGTGATTACTCAATTAGCTGATAAAATAGTGACTTTAGGTAATTCCTTAGAGGAGTTAAAACGTTATGTTCCTCATACAGAGCGAAGTGATTTTGTTAATAGTATCATGAGAACGCAAAGACGTGAAGGTGCAGTATCTATTCATGTGAATGAAGTACATAGCGATATTCTTTCACAGCGCTCACGACGTACTCGTGAATTCCCATCAGGACCTTCTTCTCCACGTAATGATGCTATTTCTGTAACTTTAACTCCTCTTAATCCACTCATAGCCGATGGTAATAGTGGTGACAACATTAGTGGCAGTAATGCTCTTAATAATATGCGAAAAGAAACGTTAACTCTCCCTGGTAAAAGTCCATCACACGATGGTTTAGTAAACTTGGCTGAAACACATACAACAGGGTTAGAAGATGTAGAGAATGTCAGTACACCTTCACGGCGAAGAGTTGTATTCACTTCTGGACGAATGTCACCTAATTTGGGTGGTTCTTTTAACTCTGCTATTACTGTATCGGGTGAACATGGTCGTCCTATAAGAAGTAATGGAAATAAAGATCAAAATTTTTCAGAAGTTGGTGAAACTAAAAGTATGGCTGTAAATGATTTTGGATATAGTGTACACCAAGTAACATTTTTAGTTTGTCGTTTATTTTTACCCAAAATAGGTTCAAATTCAGATGGAAGATCAAAACAACGTACTATAAAGGAGATACAAGAAATGTCTAAACGTTTTTTCTCAGTTGTTCTTCGAATAACACGAGAAGAAAATGGTGTTCCTTTTGATATTCGTTTGGATTCTGTTATTATAACCTTTCACACACCTTCAGGTCCAAACTCTGTTAATCTTATACATCCAAGTAGTTGTGCATTTCGAATAGTCTCAGAATTAGCTTTATTAGAATTACAGTGGTCTAAAAAATCATCCACTCCATTTGTTTGGGCTATTACAATGCATTTGGGAAAGTTTGTTATTGGTCTTTGTACAACAGGATGTCGTAACTTCAGAGTATTATATAGTGAAGAAATTAAACTTGCCTATCGTGTAGCCGAACTCTGTCATGTTTTTAATACACCTTTTCTAATGTTTCAACCATGTTATAATGTATTTCGTATTTGTATGTTAGCCGTACCAGTAGACGTTATTCAAAAAGATACACATCAGGGTAAAGGTTGTATGTATCTATATAGTCCTAAATCTTTTGGAGATGAGGAGGAAGTAAATAAAAAACGTGCTCGTTATGCTCCTATCATGGAAGCTTTTGGTTTAATGTGTGAGAAAAATTTTACAGAAGCTTCTAAGAAATTTGAAGGACTTTTGGATTTGGATAATAGTGTGAGTAGATTACATCGTCTTTGTGTGTATTTTGCACGTCTTCAAAAGGAGGGAAAACTTGATAATGTTCTTCCAAGTGTTGGTCGATACTCCCGTGAGGAACCAAAATGGACTTCTGTAGAATCAGTTGCCAAGGAATTCCTACAAAAATACGAAGAACAACAACAACAACAACAACAACAACAACAACAACAAGATATAGGTGAGGAATCTCAAAATTCTTCTCATACCCATACTTACCTTGAAGGAGATGAGATTAGTTTAATAAGGAGTGACATCACAGATGAAACACGATCGGGTGTTACTCCCGCATTGTCTGGAGTAACGTATGCGATGGGAGTTCCTCATGGTGATCATTTAATGCTCCCCGCATTTAGTATTACGATGCCGCCTTCTCTCACTACACAAGGAAGTTGTTATGGTGCTGATGTGGATATCACAACTCCACCAATGCCACAAATAACATCTTTATATGAGGAAAATATGGATTTACGAGAAGTTAATATTCGACAATCTCTTCGAGGAATGCATACACCTGCTCTTTTCTCAGAGCTCGGAACTGAAACTGGAAGTGAAGTGAGTTTTCGACGAGGTACTGAAGTAAATGATGATGTCTTTGGAAGTCGGCATGCTGAAGAAGATGAAGGAAGTGTTGCTAGTGCTGCTATTGGTGGTGGTAGTGGAAGTTTAGATTTTGATTTATATGAACCTATTGGACAGGGAACTTTTGGTACAATTTATAGAGGTATATTACGTGATGGTACATTTGTGGCTGTTAAGAAGTTAAATATTCCGGATAAAGAAAAAGAAAATCCATGTATTCAATCTTCACGATCTGAAGTTGAAATGTTATCTGGTTTACGTCATGAAAATATTGTTCGTTATATTGGAAGTGGATTTAAGTATGGATCATTCTGTATTATTACAGAATTAGTTCCTGGAGGTTCTCTTGCGAAACTTGTAAATACCTTTCGTTCACTTCCACTTGATACTATTAGAATTTATACGGGTAATATTCTTCTTGGTCTTCAATACTTGCATGAGCGACAAATTGTTCATCGAGATATATCTCCAAATAATGTTCTTATAAGTATAGATGGTGTGTGTAAATTAAGTGATTTTGGAGGGGCGGTAGAGTGTGCAATGCAATCTGCTGGTTTGGCTTCTGATATGCCATTAAGTGATCCTAATATGAGTATTATAGGAGAAAAGACAATGATGGTGTCCGTCGGTCGTGAAAGATTCTCATCCACAGGAACGGTTTTACATAAAGATTGCTTTGGAACTCCTGCTTGTATGTCACCAGAGGCCTGTTCAGGTATAGTGGATCCAAAGAATGATATTTGGTCTTTAGGCATCACATTATACTTTTGTTTCTCTGGTCGTTATCCATGGCCAAAGGCAGAGATGAAAGATCCAGTCTCGTTGATAAAGAAAATTCGAGATGGTTCTCTTGTACCTGATATAGCCTGGGACAAGATGGATCCACAGGCTGCAGATTTTATTAATCTTTGTTTAAAAAGAAACGCAAGTGAACGTCCAACGGCTACAGAGCTTATGTTTCACGCTTTTATCGTGGATTAAAAATACACCTGTATCTATACAAGAAGAAGAAAAAAATTTTTTTTTTTTAAAAAAAAAAGGAGATTCAGTGTAGTAATAATCTCCTTTTAGTGTTGTATATGCGTGTATGTGTGTGTGCTTTTCCATCTATTCCTTTCTTTTTTTCTCTCTCTTTCTTTCTTTATATATATATATATATATATATATGTTTTCCTATTCGTTTGTCTCGCATCAACGACTGTTAAAACCTAGGTGGTTTTTTTTTTTTTTTTTTTTCCTTTTTTTCGCTGTTCTTGATCTATATGAGTGCGTGTGTTTATCTATATTAAAAGAAAGAGGCGTTTTTATTTTTATTGTTATTTATTTCCATTTATATGGATTTATTGTATTTATTCTATATTGGCTTAATGATGTCTTACATGTTTGAGGTGCTGTATATTGTTGAGTAGTCTGACAAGGAAAAGAAAAAAAAAAGAAGTCTCTTTTTCTTTCCATTTTTTTTTTTTGGATTTTTCGTATTCTCTTTATTGTTCCTGTGATTATCGATTGTTGTCACCTTTTTAAAAAATCTTTTCTTTTTTTCTGGTAAAGTGGACTTTTTTTCCTTTGGCTTTCATATTACTGACTATTTTTCTTGCGGTAGTAGTAGTATAATGGTTGTTGTTTGTTGACTTTTATTATTATTATTATTATTATTATTATTATTATTATTATTATTATTATTATTATTATTATTATTGTTGTATGTTGTGTTGCCCGTCCGTCAGGTGATGGCCCTTCAGTGAATGGGTTAGAACTATGGATGTCATTGATATTAAGCAGAAATAAAGGGAAAAGGGGGATGAAAAGAAGTGCAGAAGTTTTTAAACTTCCATTTCTCCTCTTTTTTTCTCTTTTTTTCTTTGGTTATTGTTGTTGATTTGTTTTTCCTCAGAAACACACTCTCTCTTTCTCTCTCTTTTTTATGCATAAACTTTTACTTTTTCCAGTTTTTTCTTCCCCCTCTGTGTGTATCTGTGTGTTCTATTCTCACTTCTCCTTTGTTTTTGTTTTTTTTGTTGTTGCTTTTCCCACTCCTTTTCCAGTTTTTTTTTTCGTGTAATGATATCATCGTTTTTTTTATGTATTTTCTTTTTCTTCGTCTCTCTACTTATTTGCGGCAGCAGTGAGCTGTGGCGATACTTTGACATCTTTTCTGCTATCCTTATTAATTTCTGTTATCTATGCATAAAAAGAGAAAAAAAAAAAAAACTGTTACTCCTATAATGCTTCACTCGTTATATATATATATATATATATATTCTTTCTTTTCATAAGTATTTGCTTTATTTAAACTCACCTGATTTTCTTTATGTATATATGTATTTATTTATATATTTATTTATTTCCCATTTATTGTTTTGGTACATAAAAGGAAATTAAAAAGATAAAAAAGAAAGAAGAAATGGATTTTAAACCGTTTTTCCTTCGAGGAGAAGTGGTCCACGGCAAAGGCCGCGGTGGGTCTCAACTTGGATTTCCCACAGCCAATATTGGACTCAACACACATGTGATGGAGGAGTTATTACCATACAAGGATTTAGTCTTGTATGGATGGGGAAGTGTGGTCCCACTCGCTGGAAAGAGTGCTGCAGATGGAATGGGCCCTTATCCCGTTGCCATGTCTATTGGATATAATCCACACTTTCACGAAAAGGCATTAACAGCAGAAGTGCATTTCTTGCATAAGTTTAATGATGATTTTTACGGTGCTGTTGTAAAAGTTGCGGTTCTGGGAGTTATTCGCGGAATGCAGGCGTATAAGTCGCTGGAGGCTTTGGTGGAGGCTATTAATGAAGATATTCGACAGACAAAAGAAGCATTACAGAAACCAGAATTCCTGCACATCAAAGACCTTCCCTTATTGACACCGAGTCTTGGTTCTTCTGAAAACATTCCATTCTTTGAGAAGTTGAACACTTGAAATAGGTGTTCTTTTTTTTCTTTTCTTTTTTTTTCTTGTTCTTGCTGCGGTTGCTGTTTTTTTTTTTTTTTTCTTATTTATTTATTTTTTTTTCTCCTTTTTTAAAGGTATAAACTGCAAGGATCGTTAAGAGAGTCTCAAAAAAAAAACAAAAAACAATAAAAAACAGAAAAAAACAATAAAACAACGACTTCAAATGGTATTTATGATTCTTTTCTTTTTTTCCTTTTCCTTTTTTTTTCTTTTTTTTTTTTTATTTACGCCCTACTTTTCTTTTTGTTATTATCATTATGATATGAGACGTTTGGGTGGGGGAGGTGGTAAAAGTCTGCTAATGAGCTGTAGTAGTTGCATGAGAAGGAGGTTGGGATTTATTTAAATAAAGAAGAAAAAAAAAGTGTTGGTGTTGTCCCTTTCTCTCTGTTTTCTGAACTCTTCAAATGGTGTGGGGAGCAAACTTTTTCCACCACGCCAGTGCTGAGAGGAGTTTGGACAGACAGAGCGCAGCAATGACCAGCAGAAGTAGAAGCAACAATAAATAAATAAAAGTGCGCGTGCAACGCAAAACGCTACGTGAAAGCCATTAGATACTTCACCTTCCATACAAAAGAAAAGAGAAGAAAAAAAAAGAAAAAAAGCAAAAAAAAAAAGAGTGGAAAAGCATACCCATGTGACGATGTGTATTTTTTATGGGAGTAGTAGGAATGACATTGTCACTTAAATAGAGGGAACTGGAAAGTAGCATGGGTTTCTTTTATTTTTTTTTTTTATTTTTGTACAGTTTAACGTTTTGACGTTTCTCAACTGTGTATTCTTTTTTTCTTTTTTTTTTTCTTTTTGAATAATAGAAGGAGACGTACACATGTATCGATCCCGTGGGGAGTTACGCTCCTATGCACTGCGTGTCTTTGCGCTTTACAGTACTAATGGTGTCTTGTCGGTTCCTTTATTTAAACTTGCATGGTATGTTCTTTGGGGAAAACAGCCTGATGTGAGTGTCATGCAACTACTGGATGATACTGGTGTAAATGAAAACCCTGTTTTAAGTGTGATGGATGAAAATAATACTGCTGCTGCTGAGAGAATCTCTAGTGTGGATGAAGGCGTTAGCAGCGGTGAAGCTCATGTCAGCTACACAGAGATATCGCCGCACACGTCACTTTCATCAGCAGAGCGGCGAAGGCGAATTCAGGAGGAAGAATTCCTCCGTTTAGTAGTTGCTTATTATGACACTATGGGTATAGAAGCTGCGGTGTTTACAACTACAGAAAGAACGCCTAATAACATTGAGGAGATGTCTGCTGGAACACCGCGTGGTGTTATTCGTGCTGCTCGTTGGGCTCACTTTGAGGCCCTCGCTGGGCCGAAGGGTTACGTAACATTAGAAGATATCTTGGCAACTGAGCATGTGGATTGGCTTCGTCGGCCTTTGTGTAAGGCAGAGAGAGAGGGAAGTTGGGAAAGAGAAAAAAGAGGAACTGAAGAGACCTGTGAAAATTCTCCATGGAATATTGGGGATCATGCAACTTCTACAGAAAGTGATAATAACGGCAGAATGGCACTGTTATCGCATGCATTTGCCATTGCTGATGGTGATCATGATGGTAGAATTGTTTTTAGTGACATGGAGTGTCATTTGTCTGGTTAATATACTACTGTGTGGCTGAGAGACTACACAACTTATTAAGGGCATTATTTATGCCAGTCATAGATTGTATTTCTTTTTTTTTTTGCCCTTGTATCTTTTTTTTATCTTCTCCTATTCTTCTATTCTTCCTCTATTCCCATATTGTATGTAACCTCATCCTATTCCAATTTTTCTTTCTTTTTCTTCTCTCTTTCTTTATTCCACACACACACATATATATATATATATAGCAATTATATCTAACTATACATCTATCTATCTCTATATACACATATATACATATCTATAGATAGATAGAGAGAGAGAGAGAGAGAAGGTCCGTCATGCCAGACGGCGGGCAGCAGGTCTATTGGCACGACATCCCACGATGTCCCCCGCCATGGCGTGCCACCGCAGCCCCCACTCGCAGAGAAGTTGTGTTGCAGCGCCGCTGTGAACGGGCCACACCGCCGCCGTGCGGCCGCCACTGGGGGATTGTGCTTGAGCCGTATCTCACACCGCTGCATGGACTCAACATGGTGATGCGTGAACTGCAGGTGGCTGCAGTCACACGAGAGGAGGCGGCAGCAGCGGTGGCGACGGTGAGTGAGGAATTGAACGCCATGACGCAGCAGTTACCTTCACAATCCCCATCACAGCGTGGACGGCAGTTTAAAGAAGAGGGAATGACGCAGCAGAGTAGTGCCACAGCAATGGACGTTCGAGAGGCACCATTACTGGAAGTTGTAAAGGTCTTGTGCGCCACAAGAGGGCTGGAAGTGATAGCGTTTAGCAAAGCAGAACTTCGTCTAAAGAAACGAATTGGTCTAGCCGATGTTTTACCTAGAAAACGTGTAGTGATGGCTTTTGATCGTAGTAAGCCGTTATTTGTTTTCCTAACAGCCGTTATGGTGAAGAAAAAGAAATGGGGAACAACAACGCAAGCTAAGTTTCTAAATCTTGTTGCGCCAACTTCAAATCCTGTTCCGTGGCGTAGACTTCTTAGAGGCGCAATACCAAATTTTCCATTAAATGAGTGTGTTTTAGTGGCTGTGCAGAGGTGTCATGACGATTATACCACAGAAGGTTTTCCTCTAAGTAATGGTTTACATGAAAGAGAAGAGTTTTTGCTTGGTGGTGATGATAGTGATGGTGATAATAATAATTATGAAGAGGAAGAAGAAGAAGAAGACATGGATGAGGATAAAGGTGAGAATAGTATTGATATAAGTAATACTAATCAAAAATATATAAAAAATAAAGGAGAAGAAATACATAAAGGTCGAAAGAGAGGACGTGAAGAAGAAACGGAAGAGAACAGCTATAATGACTCTCATGGTGGTGACAGTGATAGTGAGTTCTATAGTGATGAGACAAACTCCGTAAATAGTGATAACATGTCAAGAGATGGAATTCCACTCGGACCGAATCCTATCTTCACTGAGAGGGATCAATTGCATGATGATCCGTTATTTGAAACCCCTGTAGCCGTTTTTCGAAAAGTCTCTCGGGCTGCTCATGCAAAACATGACTGGATACAGCGACTCATTAAATATAAGGAAAGAAAACAACTTTATGCGATAAATTACTGAGTTACCGTTTCCAGTAGTCCTCCTCTTTTCTCCTTCTTCTCCTTTTTTTTCCCCCTCTTTCTTTCTGGATACCCCTTGTACACTGGGAAGTACTCGGAAAGTATGAAAGTAGAAGGAACCAAAAAAAAAGTTCATTGCGGTTAAAAATTTTTCCTGAAAAAATCAAAAAAAAAAAGTATATCTTTCTTGTATTTGTAAGTGTTTACTGATTGAGATTTATTAATATTGTTTTTTTTTTTTTTT